GAGTGCAGTCCTAAACCAAGTTACCCCCTTCTAGGTTCACTGATGTCAGTGGCTTTAGAAAGGTGTAACTCTTATTAGAATTGCACTGTTAATATTTGAAACGTATATGTAAACTTAAGACATGACATTACAGAGTACTGTCCCCACTACACATAGAGAGCAATCCTGAGCCACATCCATGCTGCAGCGGCCAGCCACAGCACAGGGGCGGCGCACTAGTCCACCCCCTAAGGGGCAAGTTGCGCTGCAGTGGAGTGGAGGGAGTGTAGCTGGCTGCTTGCAAGGGCATGTCGATGGCGATTCCACCGCAGTGTGACCTCACAGTGTAGTGTCGAGACGGGGGTGGCACAAGGGGTGGGGCACTTCAGGTCAACGGGAGCAGCCAGTCCTGGGGCAGATGCCACTGCACATCACAGCTACGGGGTGGGGAAGGGCAGCACGGGACATTCCCATTCTTTGTTCCCACCCCCGACAGAGACCTGTGGCTATGACAGGCACATGGTCACCATCATTTGTTCTCCTGCATGCCACCCATGTCCTATGGCCAGCCCCCCCCCCAAACCCCACCCTCCCAAATACTTGGAGTCCACCCACTGCAGTGGCTCACCACCATCACCACCATTCGTTCAGGGAACCCCTGTGATCCCCTGCTCCCTCCGTACTACTTGCACAGATGCCTTCCCCCCCTAGATGCCAGAGGACCCCCTTCCCGGAGCAGACACTCAGGGGCCTCGTCCATTCACTCATTTTCTTAGCGACCCCCCACCAGTGGCTTGCAACATTCCCCTCTCCTCTGTTTCACGCACACAACAACCCTGTGAGGCTGGTCAGGCTGAGGGTGTGCATCTGGGCCAAGGCCACCCACCTAGCTTCCATGGTAGAAGTGGGGAACAGAATCTGGGTCTTCCAGGTCCAGCCTCACGCTCTCCCCACTGCAATAAGCTGGCTTATTCACCCCGACCACCCTCTGGCCCCTCCCCCTTCACACAGAAATCTGCGAGGGAACCTTCCTGTGCGCCTGGGTCCCTGCTATGTATGGCAGATTATGATAAGTGGGACCTGCACAAACCTCCCCCCACCCCACCCACAGAGCCCGAGAGCCCTCCCTCTGAGACATGTCCTCGGGAAGTCCACAGGGGGAGTGGCAGGGGGGGCAGGGAGGGGTGTGGCGCTCCTGTTCTGTAGCAGAAACCAAGCAGCAGAGACACAGTTGTGGTGCACAACATAGACTTTATTGCACTGGAATCCATGGCGAGGAGTGGGGACTCCATCTACTTCCACCCTGGGGACTGACAATCCCCGGCATGTCATGCATCTAAGTGGAATGGCGTCGCAGGTGGAACATGGAAGGGCTTGCCGGACACGATACTCCCCTTCAAGAGGAGGGCTGGAATGGCAGACTGAGCAGAGTGCCTGGAGGGGGACTTGCCACACCCACAAGTCCCTCTGTTGCATCTCCACCCGCAAGACAGAAAAACAGAGCCATGGCAACTGGGCACGAGTGCAATGCCAGCCTCAGCCATGGATGTCTTGTCCTGACAGGTTCTGCAAATGCAGTTCCATGGGGGGGGGGGGGACTCACCACGAACCCCCTTGAGGTGCATGATGGAACCAGCCCACTCACACCTGTCCTGTGTTAAAGTGCTCCCAGATTACTTGCAATTCATCCGCAGCTGCAGCCCAAGCCTCTAATTCTGCAAGGGAATGAGTTGAAGGGACACTAGACAAGCTGGTTCACCACGTACAGTGGAGCAGCTGCCAGGACCCCACCACCACCTCCACAGACATGCCCTGTGCTCTGCTGAGGGTGGGAATCAGGCAAACGACAGATCATCCCTCTCCCCACCCCCGATCTGGAAAGCCTCCCCGGGAATTTTTCCCACGGCATATCAGGGACTACGTCTCTGTGTGGCCACAACTTGTGCCGCCCCCGTAGCTGAACTCAGTGCTGGGCTTGAGTGCAGGAGACGCTGACATGGCACCCAGGCTCAAGCGAGAGGAGTGGGGGATCGGGTTTGGGATCCTTGCCCTTGCTTACCTGCCAGTGTGTGGTTTCCCCTGTGGTTTGAGCCTCCAGAGGTGGGGTACCTACCTGTGAGGGTTCTGAAATGGAAGAGGGCAGTCACAGACTACGGTTTTTGCTCACCTCCTTGGGCGTCAGCGTCAAGCGCTCCCCCTGCAATACTAAGTGCCCTCTCTGTGCTTCTGCCACCACCCAAGTGCCTCGCCACTCGACCTAAGTCCGCACAGCAGGGAGCTCTGAGACAGAGTGCCCTAACTACTGAGTTGTAAGATGTCCCGGCAGAAGTATTTGTAGGAGGAGTGGAGGCCCAATTTGGTGCTGGGGAGGGGGGTTGGCCGCTGTGGCAAGGGAGGTGATTGGGCGAGCCTGTAGTTGGCATCCTGAGCTCCACTGAGCCTCATGGGCAAGGCTGCAGTGACACGGAACAGTTTGATTTTCAAGTTCAATGGGTGCCTATGGACTAGGGTAAAGGTAAAGGTTTCCCTTGCTCGAAAGCCAATCGAATCCGACTCTAGGGATGCAGTGCTCATCTCCGTTTCCAAGCTGAAGAGCCAGCGCTGTCCAAAGACATTTCCATGGTCATGTGGCCGGCATGACTAAACACCAAGGCGCATGGAACGCTGTTACCTTCCCACCGAAGTGGTACCTATTTATCTACTTGCAATTTCTTGCTTTCGAACTACTAGGTTGGCAGGAACTGGGACCAGAGACGGGAGCTCACTCCATCGTGCAGCACTCAGGTCTCGAACTGCCGAACTACCGACCTTCAGGTCTACAGTTTAGCATCTTAACCACTCGAGCCACCGCAGCCCCCTGCCTATGGGCTACACCATGTTTTTTGTTGGTGTAACTTTCCACCTCTGGAAGGAAGTGTTCCCAGGCCAAAAGGGCTCAGCAAGCCAACTAACTCTGGCCACGCGCCCAAACCCTCCCCCAACCACGCCAGCACAAGGGCCTATGCCTCAGTTGTGCTGATGGGCAGCCATGGCGGCCCACGGCCTGCGCTCACGAGCAATAGAGCACCACTGGGGGCCTGCACCGTTGTAAATGGCACTTACGTGGGCATATCTCGGACATATGCTGATACAGAGGTCAGTTGGCTCTCTGAGCGCTTTCAGCCCCCCACCCCTCCCCCAACCACGCCAGCACAAGGGCCTAAGCCTCCGCTTGGGATTGCTATGCCCACAGCATATGAGGGCAGTATAACTGCAAAAAGGGTAGCCTGTTGGAAAGGTGAAGCCTTTCAGAATGATGTGACAGTAATCAGAAATGGTCTTCCTGCTGCTTGCCACTTACATGAGTGCTACAGAGTAGGGGGGGGGGGAATATGTGTCTCCAAATACATAAGAATAAGTCCCCACTTTGTCCTGGAAGCTTGCTGGGTGACATTGGGCCAGTTGTACAACCTCAGCCTAACCTACCTCAGCAGGTGGTTGTAAGGATAAAATGGAAGAGAGGGGAATGGTGTGAGCCGCTTTGAGGTCCCCGTTGGGGA